GGGGGCAATTACATGTACGTCTCCGGCTGAACTTTATGTAAATTCAAATTGCACATTTCTGTTGGGTCAGAAGTCAAGGTGAGGTAGTGCAACACCTTTGAAGTTTCTCCGGGCAACTTTAAAATTTAATTCCAATTTCCTTTTAAAAATATTGGCCAAAGCCATAAAATGATAGCATTTTCATGGTCGTAGCAAATCGATGGCAAACGTTTGAAATAGGCTCGATTTGCAAAGATGTGTGGGAAAGAGATTATCAAGCAGCCACAGAGTGGGTGCCGTGCTCCATGTGTGGTGTACCAATTTGCTGGCAGTATAGAGAGGCCAATTAACATTAGTTTAATAAGGATTGTGCAACTCAGACAGTTGGCGGGTGGTGGTGAAAAGGCGTTTTGGAAAAGCCTGGCGGTAAGTGGGGCTGGGGGTATATCGGGGTTTGACTGTACACTGCTGCATGCTGAGGGGTGCACTTGATGCACAGAGGATAGGGTAAAGGTAGTCACACTTGGTTTGTTGGTTTCAGAGAAAGAAGGCGTTGGTGAATCAGTACCCAAAAAGAAAAATAACCAAAGGACTGGACATTCCAAGATGGTCTCTGTATTTATATTATTGCTTTAGATTGGATGGAAAACACAGTGCAAATTAATTATGCAGGTCCTTACAAGGTCTGATATTGAGTTATTCACAGATTTGAATCACCCAAGTGATGATAGCATGACAACACTTGCGCTCATTTGTTTAGTGAACTGTGCCTTGGAGTTCCAAGTCCCCTTTATGGTTTGATTCCTGTTCATTATGGGGCAGAGAGTCAGTGTAAGAGGGGTACATTGACTTCTGGGCAGATGGTGTGGAGTCCTGATGTTGTGGGCTTTTACCTTACCGGTCTAGAGACATTGATATTTATGATTGTTCAGTGTTCAGTTAGGCTTGATATTTTACTTTGGTCTGTGTCCTTCATCACTGTCATAGCATCTCGATAGGTGACGGCTACATCTATAACTGTTTTGTGTCTATTTTTAATCTGAAGATTGTGAGGCCGTGATCTTCCCCAACATGTCAGAATGTTTTAACAAAGTTTAAAAATCTTTATACTGTGATCTTCCCCAACATGTCAGAATATTTTAACAAAGTTTAAAATTTTTTATACTTTAACACTGTCCGGTCGCCTGGCACAGAGGAGGAGTCTGTTGCAGTCATTTTCCTGTCTGGGTGACCAAATGGGGTGTTTTGTACTGCTGGCTGTGTGACTGCAAAGTGTTAAGAAAGTGTAGAATTGCTTTTGTCTAGAATCAAAGAGTTATTTTTAGTTCATTTTATTACTAATTATAAGTAAAAAGTCAAGGATTGTAAGGGTTTTTTATGTTTCTGGCTTAAAAGATTTTTCCTGTGCATTCCAATGCTAATTCTATTGGGGTTGTTCACCAGTAGCAATAAATTTTCATGGAATTTTGATGTAGTCCTCAGTGGTCTGCCTTTATTCATCTTAGAATTGTTTAAATGCTCAAATAAACAAATTGCACATTTCTGTTGGATCAGAACTTAGGGTAATGTGTCAAGGACCCCGAGGACATACAGGGTTGTTTGGGTAATTTTTAATGTGTGGTTTTTTTAAAAATTACTTAATACTCATCTGACAGGCTGAGATAGTGCAGTTCCTTTGAATTTGAAGTCTCTCTTGGCAACTTTAAGATTTAATTCCAATTTCCTTTTAGAAATATTGGCTAACGCCTAAAAATGATAACATTTTTGTAATCATTTCCAATCAGTGACAGATGTTAAAAATTGGCCGAATTTGCAAAGACGTGTGGGGAAAGGGATTATCAAGCAGCCACCTAGTGGGTGTTGTGCTCCGCGTTTGGTTTGCTGGCAGTATAGCTGGGCAGATTTACATTAGGACCATGCAACTTAGACAGTTGGCGGGTGGTGGGGAAAAAGTGTAAATGCTATGTTTGTATTGGTCTTCCTTTTCATATATTGGCAAAACCTGGCAGTAAGTGGGGCTGGGGGTATATCAAGGGTTGACTGTACACTGCTGCATGTTTAGGTGTGCATTTTGTGCCCAGAGGATAGGATAAAAGTGATCACACTTGCGTTGTTGGTTTCAATGAAAGAGGGCATTGTGAAACAGTATTTCTCCTCTCCCCCCCCTCC